TTTTACGATCTACACAAAGGAACAAAAATTTGCTACACAAAGAAAGCAGTTTTGTACACTGTACAGCACTTCACTTCTTACCGTGTTTCCCCAAAATTTAGAAAAGTATTTAGATTTATTTTCTTTTGTGTTCATTTATCAAAAATAAAATTATCACAAGATTTTTTAATAAACATATGAAAACCGACAACCATTGTTTTCATTTGTATTTCCTATACAAAAGTCAAGTGACAAATATCATATTTGTGATTGTGACATCACACAAGCTTGAATAGTGGTGTGATCTTCACCTTACCTCAGGTCATTGAACCTTTCCTCTCCCACACATTCTAAATTTATTTTAAGGGTTTAATTATGAATCATTTTTAAAATTCAAATTAGGTCTTATAAAAGGCCAGGTATTATTTTCGAGGAAACACGGTAGTTTTGCGATGATTAGCCATTGCTGTGTTCTGTGTTATGTCATAAAAAGTTAAATGGGTCGCCAAAAGCTGTGGTAATAAATAGTGGGTTCCAACTCCAAAAAGTTTGGGAACCACTGATATGAAACTAATACCTGGATAACTAATTCCTTACTCAATAGGGACTGGTTATCGGACAAAAGGTGTGGTTTGACAAATTGACATATACTATTGTCTTTTCTCCTTCCTGGTATAAGTATGGGAATCATATCCTATCATTATATGATTCTTAGTTGTTACATTGTGCTATGTGTAGTATCAGCCACAATAAAACAAAAGTAACCAAATTTTCAGAAATGGACTTTGATCTTCTGTCATTGTGGATCAGGTGTCATCTTTTGAACTGGGTTGCAAATCTGTACTTTTGATTTTGGTTAGTTCTTTATGTGAATTTTTAGGTTTAGCTGTAGAGATCTGAATATTACAAAAATGCTATTTTCTCGATACGTTACTCGACATAATTTGGTTTTTTTGTGATGATATATAGCCAAAAGTTGTACCAAATAGCTTTAGTGATGTGGGGTTCACTTATCTAGGATAGGATTTACATATATCTATTTTCTTGACTGCTCCAAAACTCACGGCAACAAGCATTTGCCGGCACATACTGCATCACTATAATTCGGTACAGTTTTAGCAGTCATCTTCTCCCCTCCATTTTTCTGTTATAAATGAAGATAATTTCCTCACCTCCTATTGTAGTTTTAGAGTTTAGTTAGAGGCTTTCTACAGAGGTTACTTGGTCACACAAAAGCACTGCAATGTGAAGTTACCACTCTTTATATCATTATTCTTCATGTTAATCAAATTTCTTTCCTGCACGTTTTAGGAAGGTTTTTAGTATTTTTCGACGGTTTTTCACTGTTGTCGAGTGTCATGACTATTAAGCTACAAGAGCCTTTTTATGTTTTTCAGGTTAATCCTTTTGAAGACTCTGACCTGTCTTTACCTGACTTTGATAGTTTTCCTAAAGCAACAAAAGAAAGTGGCAGGAAAGTGAGTTTCAGAGAATTTTCAAAACCCAATGGCGTTTACACCACTCATGGTTTTGAAGAGGTATTTTGATTTTACAGAGTTTGAAACTTCTTTGAATTGTTAGACTTCTAATGTCACAGTCTAAATCTTCAATTGAAACTAGTTTTGAAGTTTTTTTCAACATAATTTTGTTAGCCAGTCACTTTGAGTCTTCAATAAATTGTTGGATAGCTTGACCCACCCCAGCAACGCTGTGCAGCCATCTGAGACAAAATATAGCTAAATTAGAGAGTGCAATTTGGTCTGAACAATTTATTACGGCTCCCCTTTTCACTGCTGTGCAGAAAAAAGACAAGACTGTCTTAAATAAATCGAGTATGGAACAATAAAATATAACAGACTTTTTCTTATAATAAGAAACACTCCTGGAGATGGGATCGCTTTTTAGACCAAAATTTCATTCCAATTTTCCTTATTTTAGTTCTATTAAGAGTTTGGGGGCTGTCTGTGTTAGCCAAGTAAATATAGTCCTTGCCCGGGGCTGTCTGTGTTAGCCAAGTAAATATAGTCATTGCCCATAGGCTTCCGTCCCTTTACACAACTCGATGTAAAGTAGCCGAACAAAATTAGTTACCTTCATAATGGTACACACACTTGACTTTTTTCATTACAGAATACACCCGAAGTTCGTGAACTAGCAAGACTGAACAACAACACTCCTTCAACATCTTCTGCTGGAATGACAATTAAAGAGAAAAATAGAAAAAAACCTACAGAGAAAGATATCCTTTTTAATCATTATATTTAGTTCAATGTAATGGATACTGGAAACACGTCCGAGCCAAGAGAATGTGAAAGTATGTGGATGAATTTGGCAAATTTTGAGAGTAACGAATGTGCTAAATCAGGAGTCTGCAATGCACAATGCATGGGATGTGAACCCACAACGGATATTGAGAGGTGTGATAACGTCAAACAGTGATATTTGAATAGTGATTAATTGAGTTTTTTCAATTGCTTAAACCGGCTTACTATACACTCCAAGCAAAATTCTAGAACAAGTATTCCCTGGAGTCGAATTTTTCTGTGTTATTATAAACATATAGGGCAGCTTATTAAGAGCCCTTTTATGAGAGAAAATTAACCTAGGATTAATGAATCCCTTGTGAAAATATGTAAGTTCTTTTATTCAACTTTCTGTGTATTTTCTTAACTATTTGCGTCATCACATGGAACCAAGGTCATCTCCAGTGAATTGTTTTCGGTCAAACTCAACATGACGTCAGTATTCTACTTATAGTGTACACGGGATGCTTACAGCGCTAATTTTGTTAGTAATTTGTTTATTTGTTGTTCCAACACTTCTATTCACTTTTTTTGTTTTTGTGTAATTTTTTGGTGATTTTGAATTAAATGATGAAATGAAGTTTCTTTAGCCTAGCACTGTTTTTTTGTTACCGACTGCAGCCTATTTCGAAAATCGAGACATACACATGGACATAGTTTATTTTGCTATCGCCGACAAGAGCACACAGATACTAAGGATAGGATTTACATACCGTATTTATCCCTGGAGAGAAAGAAGCCGATAAGACTGTCTAGTCGTATGATGTACTATACCCAGTTGTACCAGTCCATGTCGGGATACCATATTTTTGTGACTTCAAAGTGGGATGCCTCTAAAGACAACCGGTCGGTACAAATGGTTCGAAATTAGACTAATTGGTTTTACATGCGATACGTTTTCTAACAATGTTAGCGGAAAACAAACGCATCCACCTTCAGAAAGTAGGCTAGCGCTACACAGAAGCAACAGTAACGAGAACATGTTCGTGTATTATGCTGCGTGGCTGAATGCCAAAGGGACTTTTGACAGACTTGTCCGAACGGTGGGACAAGACGCGAAAAAGCAGGACTGTTCCGCCTAAAGCGGACGTATGGTAAGCCTATACCAGCAATACGCCTATACCAGCAATACAAAACATAGGCCATAATATTATTCCCATTTTCCTTATTTTAGTTCTATTACAAGTTTGGGGACTAGCCAAGTGACTCCTGTAGTATTTGATCTGAAATTATGGCCCAACCCTAACCTGGTACAACCAACCACGTTCCGGCGTCCGCCATCTTGGTTCACATACTACGGGAATACCATTAATTCTACATGGTAACACACGCTGGGTAATCAGTGGCTCATTAGCGAGCGTATTCCTATCAAGTCCATGAACTTGAAAGCAAATAGGTGGCTGACTAATCCCATACCTGACATAGACTGGTAAACGAACAAGATGCCGTGGTTCTTCATATGGTTAAGCCCTTTTATTAGTTTTCCTCTTTCTTGGGATAAATATGCTATTCTGTCTAGATGTTGCACAAGCTTTAATTCAGTTTGATAGTTAGCTATTTTATTAAGCTTATTCATTCTCAACGAAACGGTACCGGTGACGCATCCACTAGACCAGTTGTCGGCAACCTTTTCCAAGTGATGGCCCGGTAATGCCTGACCAACATTTTGGCGGACCATTTTTATACAAACGAACTAAGCTAATGCAATAAATTATACGCATTAGGAAATTTATGTTGACAATATACTAAAAACGATGGCCATTCTATTTAATGCGATATCTGTATGTGTTTGCTGACCATTAACAGTTCCCACGTTGGAGATATGGTAGACATTAACACATGTAACGTATTTCTTGCATCTCGCCTACTTCGATATTTCGTTTTTGTAGTTGTCAACATTGAAAACCAGGCATCACAATAATAAGATTTCGAGAAAGGTTACAATGCATGTAAACCTTCCGACCTTAGTCTGGGCATTGATTGATGTTTGTTTTTCCAAAACAAATTTTTTTACCCGAAGTGCTAACTTTTTGATTATCCTGATTCTGAAGTATAGAATTAGCACTGACTAGGTACGACCGGTTAGCTTCGAGCCAATAGCGGAGTAATCATGTTTTCAGCGAGAATCATTTTGTTGGAAAGATTTTATTCGACCGATGAGAGACATTCTTATACGCGTGATAGAGAAAACAATTGATCGGGCATTACTGCCACATGCTGACGTAACAATTTTTTGTGAAGTCAAACATGATGCTCAAAAGTGTTGTGTTTGCTGTTGGGTGTTTAGTCTCATAGGGTTTGTAGTTAGATTGTAGAGATTTTATTACAGCCTTGTCTGTTTTTGTGTGACCTCTCTGCGAACCGGCAGTAACTTTTCCGCGAACCAGCGATGGGCCGCGGCCCGTTGGTTGCCGACCACTGCACTAGACCCAGGAAGCCCCCAGTATTCACAGCTCTGAACAGCAATCCCGAGCCCCCAAACTGAGCCCCCACAATCAAAACCTTACCCCCAACCTATCGTCCAATTCACCCAAGGTAGGGGCAGTAAGTAAAGGATTGAAGACACCGGTACAAGCAGTAGCCAAATCTCCAAGTTATGAAATTTTGGTGGAATAAGTGCATACTTGAGAAAGGACTGTAACCAAATATTCTACTGTTCTGAATATGTTTAATATTGAATATATATTTAAGTATCATATACCCTCGCATATAAGCAGAGTTTAAAACTTGAAAAAAAGGTTGCCAAACTGTGGGGTGGCATGTTGCCAATTCAATCGAATACCACTGAAAATTCTGCTTAAATGCGCCTAAATCTGATCGCACTCAAACGAAATGCTAACTTGATTGACAAGTATGGCGAGGATGAATTTCGAGGATTGATTAATATTAATAAAGTAAAACATAACATTAATGATTATCATTTTCATTAATTCTCTTCTGCAACCATTTGCTGTGATAAGTGCGTACAGCTAGTTACGGTTTGTAGGGTCGGGTTGTATGCGCATATTTATAGATTCATCATTTTAGGGGGTGAGAATATATCATAGGTACTGCCAAGAAGGTCATCAATTGTAAAACTATATTCTACTATTCTGGATAAAATGTTGTCTTATTAGCGTCATATTAAAAAAGTTTCCTAATTGCCCCCTGGGTCTCGGGTAGTGTCTCACCCCAATAATCATTCCTGAACCCCACCTGACTACATCATACATCCTGCACGTCACAATCATGAAATAGAGCTTGCCGAAGTATAGCGATGGTCAACCGAAATTCCAAATAATTATAAAACAATGTTTTTTGCAGAAATCATCCAATTTCAAAGACTTCCTTCACGGCATCGTTCGGCACAAAACCAGAGGCATCCTTCTCTCACTATACATGAGACCAACATTGATGCAGGCTCCGTTCCAACATGCTATTGACAATGCTACCCAGCAGGTATGATGTTCTTTTCAAATGACACTTATGACACATTTTTTACTGTGAGGCTAAACTGAAGCCATTGTGAGGACTTTTCAATTCCTTGTGTACATGAAAAAACAAATTTTTTGGATGGCCTAGTTAGAACTTACAGCCCGCCAACAAAATGATGTACATCCCTGGTGTATGGCATGCAAGTCTTCCTGAATAGACTGATAGGTCGTTTGCCTCGTTTTATTACAATTGAAAGTCTGCATTTCTGTCTCCCGTTTCTGACCCAAGGGTCACGGAAGGTCTAAAAATGGGTCGCAATAAGATCGTCAATGCATAGGCAATCTAAGAGAAGGGCGAATTTTCAGCGTTCCCAATGTTTCAATTTAGCTTCTAAACTCTGGTATTTAAAAATAACGGAAAATAAAATTTCATTCACAGAGAGAACTGTCTTGAGCTCATTGTTACATCACAATTCTGATATGCCAGTCACGTGTATTATTTTATGGCATTGGTAACCATGCACGTCACTTGACGTTGTGTTGACCGCGCGGAATGTCGTCTTAGTGGATTAAAATAACCAAAAATGGGTGTCTTTATGGTAATGAAAATTGTAATAGACGACGCAATGTAAAAGCTCGCTTCTCAACATTAGATTATTCAATATCTAGAGAAAATGTGACTTCATCTCGAGGCACCATTTACCGCGAAAGAAGCAGTGTGTGCACATTTGATGAGTGAAAAGTTGTATATTGCGAGAGATACCGAAGTCCAGCTAGGATGTTGTGTTTGTGACGGACAGCGGACGACGTTTCTGCTACAATTTGCGACAAGGCACTTGTGCGAGCGAGGATTTTTGGCACTGACGGTTATTAAAACTGAGCTTGCAATCGCCTCGATTCCCGTGACAACTTGCGTATTGTGCTCAGTGAAATAAAGCTGTGTATTGGAGATATATTGAAAAGGAAATTTCAGTTTCATCAATCTCACTGAGTCAATGGACTGTTTCTAATAAATAGTTGTCTGTATTTGAGTCAAACTGTACTAACATTAAAACACATTTTACGTTATTTAGGATTGGGTCGCGGGTATTCATAAAACTCCGATTTGGGTCGCGCTCGAAAAAGTTTATGAACCACTAACATTGAAGACTGGTTGATTACAGCTTTGTCCACCATTAAGTGCATACTTACAAAAACAAATAACCGGCTAATTAATCCTATACCGGACATGGAGTGGTAACCAGATGTGTTGTAGCTTCATCCACCATATATCCAGATTAGAAGATTTTGTATTTTTCAATAAATTTATATGATTTCGTAATAGTTGTCCAGAGGTATGATCTGAATGATTTGAAAACCATCCACCTTACCAAGGGTATAATAAAATATATGGGCTATACGACATTGGAAAGGATTAAGTCCTTCCTAAAATGGTAGTTCCTTAGAAGTCCTCACTATCAGTGGCTGAAGTTATATGCACTAGGAAAATAGTAGCTTATATATCTGCAACAAGACTCTCACTCTTAGCATTCTTGCGTTATACGCATACGATTCCACCAGCTCAAAGGCACATAGAGCAAGGAAAGGTACCTAGTTAGTTTCACGTAACCCCAATTGTTATTTATATATCTGTGACTGCTTTTTTGGAGCCTTATTCTGAGTAACAGTGCCTCGTAAATACCCCAATTTAAACATTTTTTAACACACAGGGTATGCAGACGACATTGAAAAAACTCTCAGATCTCGAGTCAGAAATCCCTCTGATAAAATCCTCGATGGGGAACTTTCTCTCAAAAGTAGTAATATTCGAGCTTTTGGCCTTGTCGAATCTTGGAGAGATGCTGGTCGGAGGCTACCATTTTTTGTCTCTTCCAGTTGACCCTTCAACAAAGGTCAAAGGTCATGTGTGAAGATTGGATCACTCATGCGTTTGAAGAAAGTAAAATCAACATGATCAAAATGATTCCAGGTATATTCGATTTTTGTATTATAAGGCTTCATACCCGAGGTGGGCAACCACGGGCCAAACATTGTGCCCACTTAGACTGGCGGGCATTTTATAAACAATACTTACAGTGTGACAAAAGCAAAAGTGGAAAACAATGAGCCTCGTCCTGCCAAAACTAAATTTAATGGCGATCTCAACAAATTCCTTGAGCTGTTTTTTAGCTAAAAAATTTGGTTTTATCTTGGTTGTGGCGGGCCAGATTGAATTGCGCAACGAGCCGTATTTGGCCCATGGGTTGTAGGAATGACTGTTAAAAAAAATTAAACCCCGCCTCCAACTAAATTTCTCAGACTCCAGTCTGACGCCAAACTGGCTCCACGGCACTCCCAGAAGTGTGTGTACCAATATGAAGGTAACTAATTTTGTTCGCCTACCTTACATCGAGTTGTGTAAAGTTACTGAAACCTGTGGGCAGGGGGTATATTCACTTGGCCAACACAGACAGTCCCCGAACTCGTGATAGAACTAAAATAGGGAAAATCAGAATAAATTCATGGCCTAACCCTAACCTGGTACACACACTACGGGAGTTCTGCACTTTTACTTTTATTATTTACAATTGTTAACTGAAAACCCCGCCTCCGACTATGAGAAATGACGCGAAATATGCCAAATTCACAGCTCTGTGATGACAAGCGCTCAAATGCTTGCGGTACAACAACTGTTACCTGGAGGGGAGGAAAACTGATAAGACTCCTATTTTCTTATCATTATTCTTCTCATATCTTATCTTACAGAAGCATCTCAGACCATATCTGCAATGATTACAATCCTAGAAGGAAAACAACTGCAATTCCTGTTCCCATTGGTCAATATTGAATCCAAACTGTCCAATCAGATTGCAGAGAACCCAAACCCCTCCTCTATCTACAAATAAAAATGTGACCTCTGACCTCTACACTGACCCTGGGTTCATTAATGTGCTTGTTTCATGGTAAGTAGTATTTCTTGTGTTTCCATAAATATTCGCTCAAATCAGGGTCCGAGTCTTAAACCAAAAGCTGAAAAATGCTAATAAAATATTGCGGCCGAAAAGGCTGAGAGTGATACATAGGCTTAGGATAGGATTTAGATAGTTATCGTGGGGAAGAGAGAGTCAATGAGACGGGTAATCATGTGGCGAACCACGGCCTCTCATCTGGTCACCATGTCGGGTATGGGATTCGTTAGCCAGTTATTTTGTTTTTATCATCGCATGGGACATGAACCTGCGTACCCATGCAGGGTAATCAGAGATGCTGTGGCAAGCGTATTCCTAACGCTTAGCACGATGCGCCACACGCCGAGCCTTCTGTTTTTTCTAGCAGAACTGGGATTTCTCTGATTCGGCATTGCCTTAGCCAATTCATTACTCCCTCGAGATAAGCTGATGGGAGTGCGTATTGTAACGCTTCATTCGAAACCTTTCAATAGAAAAAGCTAGTTTTGCTAATATGACACTCAAGCACTGGCATGTGATTGGATTTGCTTTTACATACCAGATAATTAAACTAAAAACTCGTTTTGCGGGCACACCATTCAAAGTTTGCACTTCTCCGCGGACCGCACAATAGCTCTTCGCGGGCTGCATTTGGCCCGCGGGCCACAGTTTGCACCCCCTGCACTAAATTATTAAATAAAAATCTTTTCCTATTTCAGCGCTCTTGATCATATCACAAAACATAGCAGTCTGGCGGAGGGCATAGAACGAACGCAAAATCCATTGAGGGAGATTAAAGAAAAAGAGCGCCAACTACTGGTCGAAATAAAACCTGTATTGCAGAAATTTCTTCATGATAAGGTAAAGTTACAATTGTATGCTTTGTATGCTGCTCAAGTCTTCTGCTGTAACAAGGAATTTCCGAAAAGTATGCGATTTATTTATACAACTTAGCAAGGTCTTTTGCCTAGGCTCTTGCTTGTGACTCCTAAAATATAGATTCTCGGCCCTAGAAATGTGAGCGCATTGTGATGGAGAAATAGAGATATTTAAATAGGGCGAAGCGAGGGATATATCTAAATCGGCTGGAAAGCATTTGATATCACAAAAAAATTTGAATTAAATCTTGCAAATTAGTTACTATTTGTTCAGAACTAAGTAATGTAAACTAAAACATATTCTTGTGATTTTCTGTCACATGTTTCCCCTCAGCCTTGTTCAAAGAGTTACCCTCAATTTGTCTTCTTATGCTGGACAATTTTCATGTTTTAGCCCCAAAAATTCATAGCACTTAGTGGCCCTCTTTATTATATAAAAGCGAAAGTGAAAGTTTGAGGCGCCAGTGAAGGCATTTGCTTGTTTCCCCAGAGGAATTAATCTGTGCTCAGTTTGAGAAGTCCTGAACTGAGACCTTTTCTTGTGGTTACAGGTTCCAAAAATTTGTAGCTCTTCGTGACCTCACTATTAAAGTGAAAGTATGCCAGAGGAACTAATCTGTGACCCTGTATAGAGGGTCGAGGGCCCAGTTTGAGAAGCTTTCAACTTAGGCTTACCATACGTTGTGTTTTAGTTAGTGCCTAGTTTTTTGGCATGTACCATCAGTTTTATTGAGTTGGTGCCCTGTTTTATTTGACATATGCCATGGTTTTAGTGCGGTTGGTGTCTTGCTTTTTGAAACATTTCAGTTTTTTAGATGTATGCCATCATGTGTCTGATCGATGCCTTGTATTTGACATATGCCATGGTCTGTCACGTTTGTGGCATGGTGTTTGCCAGGTTGGTGGCATATGCCATGGTTTGTTTCAGTTCAGTGCTTATCTTTTTGGTACATGCCGTAGTGTGCCAGGTTGGTGCCTTGTTTTTGTCACATATGTGATAGTCATTGTATGTATCGGATCGGAGTCTTCTGTTACATATGCCATGTCATGCAATTTTGTTCAATCCTCCACTTTTGGTTGAAGGCTTCATTTTGATAAAACTTCAAACATTGAATTTCTGTTTTCAGGTGAACTAGCTTCGTGAAGCTGAAACAGATGACGAAGAAGACAAATAATGTTTGAGATTGTTGTGTCATAATCAGCACTTATGATGTCATAATCAGCCAATGTGATGTAACAATCAGACAGTATGATGTCACGCTATTTTGTGCAGTACTATTGGCAGAGAATCAATTAATGTTGGTTTGTGATGTCACAAAACAAATATTGTGATAAAACAAAAATTATAGTTGAATCACAAATGAACAAAAATACTACAATGCACTATATTGTAAATAAACTTCTCTTCCAATTTTCGAAAACCACCTTGTAAATAATATTGTTTTTGTCTGTCATAGTTTGTGAGTTCCGTTAGTCTGCCATTTTCCCGAGAATTATTTCTGCTTTTTGATACCAATTTTTTAGTCTTTTTATGCTTTGTAGTGAGTTTTATAAATTTAGAATGTTGAAATCTCAATCTATTAAAAATTTTGAATTATGGAATGTAAAATAATTCAAATTGTGGCAATGCATCAAACATTTAGCGTCAGAAAAAGATGTTGGTTGTTCAAAAAGTGTAAAGAATATTTGTGCTGGCTTTTGATATAGAAATTTAATGCCTAATCCTGTAAAATATTCATTATAGGGAGGGGGCTTTCCAATGAGCCGTATAATGGCTGTATAGCAGTGGTTCCCAACCTTTTACGCCTCGTGGCCCCCTTCAGAGGATTTTAGTTCTCAAGGCCCCTGTTTATCTTTCCAGTGGTATTTATAGTGGTATTTTGATTGGTGGAATCCAAATCCCATTATGTTCAAACAATTCATGCTCAACAAAGGGAAAAATCCTTTGGAATAACATAACCTTCAGGAAATGAAACTAGGAAAAAAGTAAAATCAGTTTTCTCCTGGCATGGTGGCACCTTCTAACTGCTCTGTGGCCCATTTGGAGGGCCACGGGTCCCCGGTTGGCAACCACTGCTGTATAGTTTTACTTTGTTTTAACATTATTTTCACCAATAATCTAACTCTCTGCGTTGATTTTGTCTTCGTCCAGTTCTGAAAAATGTTTTTTTTTATAATTAACTACAATCATGTATCTATTGTACTAATGTGTCTGTTTATTTATTTATTATATTTACTGGAAGTTCGAACTATATATATTTGTGTGAATTAGATGACCTGATGGTCATTGTGTTTTGGACTCAGCTACTTTTCCGGTTAAATAATGTTTTAAACTTAACCCCACGCCCACTATCTTACCCAGGTAATGAATTAGGCAAGCAATACCTTCCAATCCTGTAGAACAGTGGTTCGCAAACTTTTTAAGCCACGCCCCTTTTTTAGAATTTGTCAAGCCACGCCCCACCTCAAAAACAACCAGCTGACGATAAGCTACAAATAACAGATAGTAAGGAGAAAGTATGCTTTATTCAAAAAAACATGTTGAAAATACCTGAATGGAACGTAAATAAAGAAATAATAAAAGTTATTAAAACAAGCAAAATTCAGCAAATATTTTTGATCAGATTTTTGCCCCCTCAAAAAATTGTCTCCGCCCCATTGAGCGGTGCGCCACACCGTTTGAAAATCACTGCTAAAAAGCCTAATTTCGAGTTCAATTAGTGTCTAACATATCCATCTCGGCCTTGTCAGTGTGGCCATTTTGTTTCCAAGAAAATCTTTCGACCTTTGACCCCATCCCGATCCCTGAATAGTGCCCGATACATACTAAAAAGTATTTTCGATGAGTATTTAAAGTATTGTCATCTTTTTATAGAATTATAGTGCTTTTTAAATGTTGCCACACAGCATGCTAAGATTATGCAGAATTTTTGAGCAAAAAAAAAGATTTTTTTGAAAATGTCATTTTTGTAAAAATCTTTGTACTGAGATTAATTGTTTGTTGTTACATCATAATTAAATCTGCAATGTATTATTGTGATATCACAACGTTTTGAATAAATGAGTGAGAAATAAGAAAATATCAACATATGCATGTTTTTGTTTGTGTCTGATAAGATGACCTGGTTCAGTGGTTAAATTGAGGGTTATAGTTATCATATCATGCTTATTTCGCGTATAAGGAAGCATGGCGGGTTGAAGCTAGGAGGACTAATATCATGGTAATAAGAAATAAAGTCCAATTCAGCAACTAGTAAGTTAGAGCATATTACTGCCGCCATTATGAGAATACAACATAAGTATCTTACGGACATAATTATGACCAAGTAAAAATCTGCCAAACTGTCAGCCAATCGTATCTCATATACCTGATCACGTGATTTGCGCAGAATTGCATCGGCCATGTTGTTGCCATGCGCAGACGGACATTTCAACCGGAAGTATGTACTTGCCTTGCGCAAGAAAATACCGAGATTTGATTGGCTGATTGAATATTTCTCAGCCTGCGCAGTAGATTACCGGCCATCTACTTGCCATGCGCGAGATTTCTGGGAAAACGACCGTTGCCAGATAAATTTGTAAACAGATTCTAGAAGTCTGGCAACGTTCAAAAACATAACATTTTCGCGCATGGCAACCGCATGTCCGTTCTAGCACTGCGCATGTCACATGACTTCGAAATTTTCTCATTGGGTAACTCTGAGCCAATTGAAATAGCACACGAAGTTTTAACATAAAGAGTTGAAATTCCTGGAACAAACACAAGAACAAAGACAAAAAATCTCGTCATCCGATCTGGCGTAGTCAGTAAAACGACCAAGTATTAATCCTGTCGTTCGAGTTCAATACCAGACCCATCCACTCCTTTCTTCAGTTGTTTTGAAGTAATCGAAAGATAAGTATCAGAGGTTAGAACGTTTTCTTCGTCGGCCGCTGTGGCGCATTGAATAAGTCGTTTTCAAGTAATCTCATTGCCCAAGTTCAAAGCCGGCCCCCTACACTTCTTTTTCAGTTGTCTTGAAGTAATCGAGAGATAAGTATTGGAGGTTAGAACATATTTCCCGACCACTAGCGTGGCGCACTGACAATGACGCAGGTGAGGTGTTCACCTGGA